TGTTCATCACTGTATTACTTCTAATCATGCATGTCAGGAACAGTGACATTTATAAATGACTTTAGCAGTAAATAACAGAAATCCCAAACACTAGTATGTTAAATCAATAGTTATTTTTCTCACCATAACAAGAAATCCAGAGGTAGGTAGTTGCTGGCGTTGGTTTATATATTCAACAATCTCAAGGCCAATAAAACCTTTCATTTTCTTATCTTTTTCCTCATGGATGAAAGATGGCTACTATAGCTCTAGACATCTCATTACTTACAAAGCAGAAAGAACAGGCAAGAAAGGATGCCAGTTTTGGTGGCAAAATTTGGAAAGCAAAATTTCCCAGAACGTGCCCCTCAACCTCAGAAATCGTTACCTTACTTCCCCCAGTGGCTTGAATTTATACCACCTCTAGTTGTAAGTAAGACTAGGAAAATAAAATCTACAGGACTATGTGGTTTTCCCATCCTAGAGGCAGGCAAGTGAGAGAGAGGTTGGGAACCGGTGTTGGTTTACTGAGTTTTAGGGTCTGCCACAGTGAAATCCAGGAAACAGCAAAATATCTAAGGATACAATTGACCCAGTATGATGTGCCATATGAATCCCAGGTGGCCGTTAAAATTGTGGTAGAGAAAAATACTTAGTTGCAGGCAAAATTATTCATACAATGTTGTCAAGGAAAAAATTAACATAGAAAACAATAGATAATAAAAACATCACATGTGTTGGGGTGGAATAGGTTTCGATAGATTTTAAAAGCTTAAACAGATATAATGTAGAAAGAAAAAGCTGGAACTTACATTCTGAAAATGTTGACGTAGGTTGGGTTTTCCAGAAAACAAGACTCCGAGGCGGGGATTTGCATGCAGCTGGTTTACTGGCGCGTGCTCTTGGGAACAGCACCTGTATGGAGACAGGAAAGGGCAGAGGGACAAGGCCAACTGCAGGGCCGTCGCCACAGGTACTTTAATGGGTCCCATGGGAAGTTCTAAAGCTGGATGTCTCAGATTATCCCAACTGAGGGACTGTGCATTTGTACCTCCACCACTGACCAATCATTGGATTTGGGCTGCCCTCTGGGAGGGAATGTAACCTAGGGTGAGGCAGTTTCCTTCACAGAAGGCAATTTTGGAGAGGAATTCAACTGTGAGCCACCAGCAGCTAACATTCCTGGCAGCTGTATGTTGGGATCTGGGCAGCACATCACAGCATCCACTAGAAATATCAACAGTGATTATCTCTGGGTTTGGGGACCACACATGAAATTTAGTCCACTGCTTATCAGACAAAGGAAAGAATAGATGCTTGAATGAATGAACACCCTGCCCTGTTCTTAATGTCCTTTTGCCCCCCCAAAATGGGTTGTGAGCACTAAAATGGTTTTGACATTAAAACGGTTATCATTAGAGATATTTTCAAAGAACCTATGAACAGAAGTATCAAATCAATGGTCATGAGCAGAGTTATTTTTCTAGGCTTAACAGGAGAGATTATGGCTTACAATAAGAAACAACGTCTTGAGCAATATTACTAAAGGGCTTCTATCTTTAGACATTTTTAAGAAGACAGATAACTATCTCCCACGCTGGAAAAGGCATCATCATCTGTAGTAGCCAGCCTTCAGGATAGCTTCCATTGATCCTTATTTCCTAGCATTCATATCCTTCCCTAGTCTCCTGCCCAAATCCAATCAAGTCTGGCCCTGCTGACCAAGGTGATGCATGCCTTCCAAAGCTATGTCATAAAAGGCACTGCAGCTTCTGCTTTGGTCTCTTAGATTGGTCTCTTGCTCCACGTTAAGCCTGTTGGCATGCTGCGGGGGAGACATTCAAACGATCCTGTGAAGAGAGGCCCATGTGGCCAATATCCTGGGCCAAGTCACCAGACCTGTGAGAGAGCCACCTTGGAAGTGGATTCTCCAGCTCCAGCTCCATAAAAAGTGTTCAGATGATGGCAGCCCTAGCCAACATCCAACTGCAACCTTATGGGAGACTGAAACGGGATTGCCCAAGTGAACCACTCTTGAATTCCTGACTCACGGAAATTGTGAGATAACACATGATTTTTACTGGTTTCAAGCCTCTAAGTTTTGGGGTTATTTGATATGCAGCAATAGATTGCTAACATATCATCAGTAACAAACATTTATTGCTATTTACAAAGTACCCTGCTTATGGGCTGAATCATATATTATTCAAGGTAACTTCTTGCCTTATAACTTTAATATTTTAATAGCTTGACATGTCATTAATTCTATATCTTTCCTATAAAATTCTTATGAGAATCATAAGAATCAGCCAATCAAATATTTAACAAACATTCATTAAGTTCAAAGTATTATTCTAGGTGCTCTGCTGATTGAAAGGCATGATGATGCTAATGATAATAATAATAGAACAATAATGATAGGTATTACTAGTATTTATGAAGCATTTGTTTTGTTTTAGATACTGTTCTAGACACTGTACACATACTCTCATTTAATCTTAATAAATATTGTATTGCCAAATATTTTCCAGAAAGGTCATGTCAAGTTACACTCCCATCTGCAATGGATAAAAATAGACTCATTGCATGCATGTTTACCAGCACTTAAATTTTTTTTTCTTTTTTTACTAATAGGTGAAAAATAGGATAGTTTTATCTGCATTTCTAGGATTACTAGATCTTGGTATGTTAAGCACATTATGCCTTTGTCTGACATACGTTACAAATATTTTTTTCCCAGGTTGGTATAGTATTTTCTTGATGTTTCTATATAGTCAAGTCAATCTCTTTGTTTGTAATTTCTTTCAATTTTTATAATTAGAAAGTTCTCCTCTATCCCTAGATCAATTAAATTTTCACTTGTATTTTTTTCTAGTTTGTTTATGGTTTTGTTTTTCTACACATGTAATTATTTTTGTTGCAGGGATACAGGATAAATGTCTTTTTAAAATAATCATTTCTCCTTCATTATTAATTAAGTTTTCCTTTCCCCTCTGATTTATTATTCCACCTTTACTATCTAAGGAATTCTTATATTACTTGGATATGTTTATGAGTTTTATAACCCTCTTTCATTGCCTGTTGGTTTTTGGTGCTAGTGCTACACTTTTTTTGATTACTGGCTTCTACTCATTCATCAAGAACCATCACATTCTCAGGGCCAGCTGAGTGGCTCAGTTGGTTAAGAGCTCGCTCAAGAGTTTGAGCTCTGAGCAACAGCGGTTCGAGTCAGCCCGAGCTGAGCAGCTGCTGAGCTACCAACAGGTGGCAGGATGGCTCAGCTCAAAAAATAAACCATCACATTCTCTTCCAGAAAGCCTCCCTGATTCTTCTAAAAAAATGATTGCCACCTCCTTTTTCACCTTTATGACATATATGTGTAAAATTCTGCCTTGCATAGTTAACAGGGTTGATCTTATTCAATTATATTCTTGAGAGCAGGGAACAGGTGTATTATACATTCATTAAAATTAAGCTACTGGATTTGCATTAAAAGGTAGTGATGACAGAATAGCTCTGGTGTGACAAAAAAAATGAAAATAGAAAATTCTCTCACTTGTTCAACAAACATTACTGTGCTATTCATTATGAAAAAACTATAAAGGTGAGTGAACTCGAGATTCTCCCACTTAGTAGGGGGAAGAGACATGTAAAAATATACATGATTACAATAGTCAAGACATGGAAGCAACCTAAGTGTCCTGCAACCTAACATATATATTATACAATGGAATACTACTCAGCCATAAAAAATGATAAAATATTGCCATTTACAACAACATGGGTGGCAACAAGAGTATCATGCTAAGTGAAAGAAGTTAAACAGACAAGGACAAGAACAATATGATTTTACTCATATGTGAGATATAAAACAGAAAGCAACAAATTAACAAATAAAACAAACTCAGACACAAGACAACAGTACAAAGGCTACCAGGGGGAAAGGGGGAGTGGGGGTGGGGAAAGGATGAAAAGGGTAAAGAAAAAGGATGAAAAGGGTAAAGAAAGTCAAATATATGGTGACAGGAGACTAGACCCTGGGTGGTGAGCATACAATGCAATATACAGATGATGTATTATGAAATCGTGCACCTGAAACTTATGTTATTAACAATGTTACCCCAACAAATTTAATTTTTAAAATATGTGATTAAATACAGTGTGGCTAGGTAGCATAAATAAAATAAACATGCACAAGGGAGGAGAAAGGAAAAAACCAACTTAGCAAGTAGTGGGCAGTGTTTCATAGTGAACCTACCTATGAGCTGGGTTTACCATGTTTGTTAAAGGTCAAAGGAATTTGCGATTAATCGAAATGACAAAGCGCATCAATTTAGATCCTTTAACAGAAGTTACATTAATTCATGCTTCATTCTGGGATCTTTTTAAAGGCGCCTAATATAGTTTAGCTAATATGGGCAAGCTGGAGAGAAGCTCTGCTTGGCAGCTGTTTCAAGTTAACACGAACCTGAGATGACTAGAAAGAGATACAGGTGAGAATTAACCTACAATGTGTGACTGGAAGAAAATTAGGCATGGGGATGATATAAACCTTTACCTACGTCAGGCTGGTCATCTATAAACCACTTACACGAGTTGGTTTAAAAGCAATGAGGACTGCCTCCTTGTTGAGAGAGTGAGAACAGTTCCAGCCTGGGGTCTCACCACCCCGCCCCGCCCCTCAGACACAAGGTTAGCCCAGACCAGACGTTAGGGCAAGAATTACTGATGTCATGCAAACGTGACGTAATCAGCACTGACGCAGTCTCACAGGGAGGGGCCTCTGAGCTCACCTCAGAATGCGGTCAGCTCCACAGAGCAGCGAGTTGGCCGCCTCGCATTCTGCCCTGGGGGTCCGAATAGTCTGAGCTACGAGAGCCGAAGCGCCGAAGCTGCTCAGGAGCTGAGGAGCTGCCACTACCCTCCTTCCTTGGCTCTGACTCGCGTCCTAAGACCCAGGCGCGGTCCAGGCGGCAGCGCGCTCACCAGCCCGCCGCTTGAGGCGGTCACGCGCACGCACGCTTGTACGCACGTTCCCTGAGAACCCGGAAGTGCGAGGGAGAGGAGAGCCACGTGGGTGGAGCTGGAGCGCAGCTCGCATGGGGGAGTCTATCCCGCTGGCCGCCCCGGTCCCGGTGGAACAGGCGGTGCTGGAGACGTTCTTCTCTCACCTGGGTATCTTCTCTTACGACAAGGCCAAGGACAATGTGGAGAAGGAACGAGAGGCCAACAAGAGCGCGGGGGGCAGCTGGCTGTCGCTGCTGGCGGCCTTGGCCCACCTGGCCGCGGCCGAGAAGGTCTATCACAGCCTCACCTACCTGGGGCAAAAACTAGGTACCTCCGCCCCGCCCCCCGTGCCCCTTGAGGAGGAAGGAAAGGGGGTGTATTCCCCGATCGGCCGTGGCTTGGGTTTCTTGTTTCTGTCATTCCTAGCTACAAGCTGAACTCGGCCCTCCCATCGTTCCCTTCCTTCTCTCGGCTTCCACAAGCCCCGCCCACCGGCCTCAGCTGCAGATAGATTGGCGGATGGGGTGGATGCTCTTTGCAAGGCTGTGCCCCAAACAGATGAATATATCCCTTTTGCCCAGTGCATGGATTGATGCCATTAAATGAGAAGTAAAGCAAACTCTATGTCTTCGCTCTTCTAACCAGTGACACAGCGGACAGAGAAGCAAAACTTGGCAATGCAACCTAGTTAGAGTTAATGAACACTATTGTCGGGCTTCTTAAAGGTTAAGGCCCCAGAGAATTACAGATGGAGTCCTACCCCCTTCGCAAGCTCTCAATAAATATTTAATGAATGATGAAATAAATGAATACTGGACAGGAAAGGCAAAAAATAAGCCTAATATTAGCAAGAGGGGACTTAGGGGGGGAAATGGTAAACACTCTTACCATCCCGTGATAAAACTGGCCTCTGAAAATAAGATGCAAGAGTAGATTGGACTGATTTTCACTAGTAGAAACAATTAGTATAGGTAGATCAGAAGGAAATAATATATGTGAAAGCCAGGGGCTATGCAACAAGGTATAAAACTACTTACAATTACCAACAATAAATATGAATCTCAGAGTTTTTAGAGTTGTTTTAGTACTTTGGCCTCTTTTAGACACTTTAGTTATCAGAGGCACAAGATCTGGTATGAAAGAAGGGCACATATATACAATACGGAGTAGAAATGTTAAGTTGAATGTAGATTCCATTTTGATTCCCCACCCCCACCCCCAAGTTGCCTGAAGGTGACCATGTATGTACATGTTGCTGTCAGTAAACACTCAAGGGGCAAGGCTTTCTGAGAGTATGTTTTAGGATTCAAATAATACGTTGTTATTTACTATGTTAACTTATTGGCAAAAACTGGTCAGATAGTTTCACCTTGTGTATTTTTCCTCCCCTTTTTACAGTGGCACTTCTCACAAGTTTGCAATTACTGTTGCAGTGTTGTTATTCCCCTTTCTACAGATTGGCAAGTTGTGTACGAATAGTTCAAAGAAAATTTGAACTGTCAGATTGTGTTTCTATCCAAATGATGTATAAAAAATTTGTATATATATATTATAACTTGCATATATGTATATGCAAATGGGGAGGATTCTGACTGTAAAGTTGAAGGTGGGAAATTTTCTGGTAGTTTTAGTTGTTTTTAGTTTCCCCCACCTCATGAACAGTGGTGATTGACCCCAGTGCCTTGATTCTTACCTTTTTTTTTTAGCTTATTTATGAGAATTTGAGTAAATCTGTAGACTTACTCCCCAGAAAAATATATGTGTACTACAATTTTGCATATAATCTGAGAGGATTCAGTTGGATTTCCTAAAGCCTATTTATAGACCTCAATTAAAAAAAAATCTATTGTAACTTGTATGTGCTTGGTTTTAGGTAAACTGAACTGGCTGCCCTGTGTGTAAGAACACGGGTAGGACCATCATTATCTCTGACTTGGTTTCTGTGAAGTAGGCCTTATTATGTAAAGTAATTGATTCTGCATGGACGCCGAATGGTGGAGCCTGAGGGTTGTCTTGAAATTGACCCCGGAGCATTTTACACTGTGCCACCTGCCCAGGCTCTGTTCAAGCTCCCAAGTGACACGTCACTTCTGAGTAAATGTTTTGAAAATGGCATGTTTAACTTTAATGCCTCTTAACTTCTGCACATGTATAATAAATGTGGGTTCCAGATTTTAAATTTTAACTTTGTGAATATCTTAGAGTTTTTTAGTACTGGAATGTTTATGATATCAACATGCTTACAATATGACTTCGTGATTACTCCATTTTCTTAAAAACTTGGGGAAAATCTTTTGTGTCGCCACTTAAAACAGTCCCATGTTCTTCAACTACTTTGCTAATTAGAATATTTATATAGCTTTCTTGACAAAACAATACAAAAAGTTTATGTGTATTTAAAAATTTTTAGAACATGGTTCAAAAAAGTGAGTCTTTTTAACCTCCCTCTTGTGACATGTTTATTGGAGACCTTATCAGTGAATCCTAATTATAGATGTCCTTTAGACAAAGGACAGACCTGACAGAGAGCCTTCTGTTCCCATCTTGGCTCACTTACGAAATACTAGGAGCCTTCTCTTTCCTTTACTGTATGGGGAAGGATCAGTGACTCAATACCTGGGGAGGATTTTAGAGTCATACTTTTCTCCCCTTTGTTTCATTACTGGAGAGTTTCCTCAACCTCTGATTGCTGGAATTTAGTATGGTAGAAAATGACTTAACTTGAGATCTGATGTTTTAAAATGATCCTTAGCAAGAAGTTGTAGAATAAAATACCCAGTTAGTTGTTTTCATGCTCCTTTAATATACTTATTACTTGAAATGTCATGTTGTGAGATAGACTGTTGAAATCTTGACAAATAAGCACTCCTAAATAGAACCTTCTGGTAATAATTCAAAATAATCACATTTTGTTAATTCAAACAATTGAAAAGACAAAGTCTGGTGTCTCTGATTTCATTTCCCAACATGAAGGAATGCCAGTCTCCATGGGATATACCTAACCAGGGCAGTCAACAAATAGGACTGTAGTCCTGAGAGCCTTGAAAAGAGACCCCCGTAAAGAAATGCACTGGTGGTCTCTCCCTTCCTTACAGTGTCACTTTACTTGTTTTCACATAGTAGGGATTGATGTTTCTTGATAAGCTTTTAAAGGTATTCTTTGTATTTATGTGGCTTTCCCACTCTGCCAGCTAAGGGTATTCTGATAAAGGAAGGCATCCCTTTCTCACCCAGAGTTAAAATTTTCACCAAGGCCACCTGTTTAACAGTGGAAGTAAGTACACAGTTGAGGTCACCTAGCTCTGTCAAATAGATAGCTCTTCTTTTTACAGTACTTGAAGCTCCCAGTTTACCATAGAGTTTCAGAAGCTCAATTATGTAGTATTGAGCGAGCATTTTCTTAACATCAGTTATAAGTGGGAGAGAAAAAGATTAGTGTTATTGAATATATGCTTTGCTTTGCTCCAGATACATTGCCTACCAAATCTTACTTTATTTTGTCTCCTTAGCAGCTCTATTACTAGTTTTGTGTTTAAAATAATAAGGTTCAAAGTGGCTAAGTCATTTGCACATCACACAGCTTGTAAATTTGGAAGCTGGGATTTGGAACCAAGTCTGTCAGACTTTCAGAGCTTTTAGATTTTACATGGTACTCTTACTACCTTCCTAACCTAAGATATTTTGTCCTAGACCTGGGCACAGAGGTCTGTTTATTCCATACTGTCACTTTGCAACATCTGCAAAACTAGACTGAATATGGGCATGGAGGAAGACAAACCTTCCAGGATGCAGTCCTGTGTGGGATGTTGGTGTCAGGGTCAATCCACCCATACCATATGGATTTTGCTGCTATTAGTAGGAAAAGTGATGTGCCAGTCAATCTGTTTAAGCAGTATATTGGAGAAAACAGTTTTGAAGTATTAGTAGCCTGTGGAATCAGTAGTAAGTAGGGTGACCAACTTTCTAGGTTTATTCAGGGCTGAGGGGGCTCCCAGGACATGGAACTGAAGGAGGGTTTCCTAAGAAGTGAGACTTTCAGTGGTAAAACCTGGAAAGTGGTGGGTTAACTGGAACAAGGTGTCACTGTATTGTAAGGGGTATGAGATTCATTTCTTGAAACATAAACTGGCAATGAACTAAAAACAATGTTATGAAATGTTTCATTCCATAAGAGTATATTTTACAAATGCCTCGATAAATAATTTTCACTCCTAATTGATATGTTTAGAATAGTAATAAATTCTTTAATTAATTAAAGCATTCTGTATATATCGATAGAAAATTTAAACTGTCACCAATCTCTGAGATTTTCATATATTCCTAAGAATTACGGTTTTAAACCTGCACAGTTTCTTTTCATTTTCCTAATGTCTTGCCTCTGACCCTTTGGTGGGGTGCAGAATCGCTTGCGAAAACCTCTATAAAACTGGTTCTATAATTATTAGAAATATAGTTGATCATGTACTAATCCAGAAATAAGGAAATGATACCTATGCTATTTGATCCTTTTTGACTATTCGAAAGGATGTACTTGGTTTTATTTTGGACTGATTTCCTTTGGAACCCTGAGTTACAGCAGCAGTTATTTATAATTGCTTGTTGCTCTTGATAATTCACAATATGCTGCCTATTATGTTATAACCTGTAGTGTCACCCTTGTCAAGAGTACTGAGATTTCCTCCTTCTCCTGGGATCCCAGTAAGTCTGTCTTCTTGTGTAAGGGAGATATGTGCGTGTGTTTTCCATTTTATGGTTTAAAAGATAACACTCAAAGGAAAATGCAACTCTAAAGGAGAAATAAAATTTTCTGATTTACCAGAAATAACAGTGTTTCATAATTGGGTGCTATCATTTGTTTTAAATATATTTTTGTGGAAGGAGGGCTTTTTAGATCTAGCTTATTTATCCTCTGAAATAAATCTGAGAGGTAGGGGAGAACTGGTGCATGATTAAAGAAATCAAACACAGGTCCATGGCTAAACTAATGAGTTGCACCAGCCATTTGTTTAACTTATTCCCCAGTGAAATCATCAACCACAAAATACTTCAATCCCAATCATAGGAGTCAAGAGAATCCAGTAGATGAAAACCCACTGAGCTCAGCAGGTTCAGATTCTCTCTTTTTGGATGCTGGGAGGTGTTTTGTACTTCTGTTTCTCTTCCTTACCTGTCATGTGCTTATGTCATTCGCCTACCAGGGGGCCAGTCTTTCTTCAGCAGGAAGGACTCCATCCGCACTATCTATACTTCCCTGCATAATGAGCTGAAGAAGGTGGTGACTGGCCGCAGTGCCCTGGGAGGGACCGCTCCTCACGTAGAAGAACTCCTTTCCCACCTGTCAGAGCAGCTCTGCTTCTTCGTTCAGGCTCGGATGGAGATCGCAGACTTCTACGAGAAGATGTACACCCTCAGCACCCAGAAGTTCATCAATGCTGAGGAGCTTGTTGGCCTCCTGGACACCATCCTCAAGAAATACAGCTCCAGGTCAGTGGAGGCGAAGGGGAGGGCAAGATAGACTCCGTCAGCCTGTGGATCCCACACAGACCCTCTGTATTCCCCACACTCTTAGGAGAGTCTATGATGAAGTAATAAAGGAGAATAGCTGTGTTACTTTTGGTATACATTAATTAACAGGTATATATTAGGCACCTTCTCTGGGTTTCATTAACACCATGCTGATGGATATTTCTCTAAGCAGTAACGAAAAACCAATAATGAAATAATCCTTAAAAGATGGTATTGTACTTGATTTTGATTTTATGAAAGAGTTCATACAACAAGAGAATTGTATATGAAATAATGTGACTTTTTAACAAGCCACTATTCGAATAAATGTCCCTTTCAAAGTAATCACCTTGGTGAGTTTTCCACTTATTCCTCAGATGTAGCCGTAACTTACATGTGTTGGAAACTCCTGTATGATTGCTTTCGGTGCCTGTGGCCTCATCTTGGTTTTGTTTTAAATTTCCTCATGGTAGAGGCCCACATCTATGCTTCTGAGGAAGGCATACTTATGGCTTTTTGTGATAGTCAAAAAGTTATTTGTAGTCAATTTTTAAAAAAAGATGTCGATCGACTGGAAAACTTTTATTTGAAGGAAATTGCTACTTATAAAGAAATGAGACGAGTTATAATGTATTGCTCACCGCCTGACCCAAAAAGCAATACCAAAAGAATTTAAGAAGCATTGTGAACATCATTGATGTGAATGACCCAGTTTTATTTTGGGGTCCCGAGCCTGGCATACTGGCTTACACATAGTAGGTGCTCAATAGTTTTATGATGGAATGAATGAAAAGTGATTACTTTGAAGGATACCTCTCCTTTGGATATATGAGTTTATATGTGTTGCTAAAAGAGAAATGTAGATATATTTGATTATACTCCCAAATGAAGGATAATACTCATCTGATTAATGGACTGGGCAAAGGGGACAAAGGGAGGAGATTAAGAGAGACTTCACAGATGAGGTGGAATCTGAGATGACCTTTAAGGGCAGGTGTGGTGTTGAAAGCAAAGGCAGCAAAGAAGGGAGCACATGCTTTGTGATGAGGAGGTGATTTCAAGCTACTGAAAGGCCTCAGAGTTTGGGTGCCTGCTGTTTTCTCTTCCTGAAACTCTCTCATCCTAGTTGTTTACTCATCATTTAAGTCTTGGTTCAAATGTCAGAGAAGCCCTCTTCCCTTATCCTACCCAAACTATCACTCCCTTAGTCACAATCCTGTTCCCCTGATTTATTTTCTTCACATTGCTTATTGCTATCTGAAATTATTGTGTTTGCTTAGGGTGGTTTTTCTTTTCTCACAACTAGAATGTGAGCTCCGTGATAGCTTCCATGTCTTCAGCACCTTAGAGCCTAGCACATAGTAGGTGCTCAGTAGGTGTTTGTTGAATGAATAAATGACTATTTGGTAAATGGTGGGAAACCACGAAAGGCTTTTGAAGAGGGGAGTGTCTGTTCTTATCTTTGTCTAAGACTGATTACTTGTGGCACTGGTGTGTGGGATGGGATGGTGAAGGGAGTGGTTACAGGAGGAAAGGTGAGTTTCGCAGACTTCTGTGGTACTCTGAGTCTATGGGAGCTGAGCAGGGCTGCTGAGTAGAGGACATTGTGGACATCACTCATTCATGGGGTCTCCAGGAGTCAGAGCTGACTCAGTAGCACGTACCATATTTTGGAGTAGCATGTTCTGAAACCAGCCACATTGTTCTATCATATATCAGTTAGCTGTTGCCATAATCATCCTGTATAACAGACCACCCCAAAATTGACTCTTCCGGGCTTGGGCTTGTAGGTCTTTTGGGAGTTGATTGACCCGGGCTAAGCTTAGCTGGGTAGCTCTCTTTAACACTGCTGGTCTCACTGGGCTTGGCTTTTTGCTGTGAGCTTTGGGCTTAGTCTGCTCCACTTATGTTCATTCTAAGCCCAAGGCTAGAGGGGAAGCAGCTACCCAGTGGCCATGGCCAAGGTGCAGAACAAGCCCAGCCAAGCTCATTTTAAGCCTTTCCTTGCATCAGACCTGTTAACATCCCATTGGCCAATGCAAGTCACTGGCCCAGTCTATAGTCCAGGGGTGGGAAAATACACTCTTCTTCGGGTGGGAGAAGCTAGAGTCATATGGCAAAGGGTGTGGAATTGGGTGGTTACGAATTGGGGCCAGAAATTTAAGCCCTCATCATCACATGGCTGAATCCTACCTTCTCTCTTTTTTTTAATTGATCCTTCCTGCTCTTTATACTTTATGGCTCAATTCAAATCCTGTCTCCTCTATGGCCTGTACAATCTTTCAACCAAATAAAATTGCTCCTTTTAAACTGTTATTTGTACCCCTCATAAGCGATGTATTACTTTCTACTTATACTTATATCCATTATAAACAACTTCTTCTAACATGGGAGGTCCTGCAGGGCAAACTTCTGACTAATTCATCTTATATCTTCAACATATTTGTATCTAAAAACTAGTTAATTGTTTTAAATTATTTTTATTTACTGTGGTAAAATATATGTAACAAAATGTACCAGTTTAACCACTTTTAAGTGTACATCTCTGTGGCATTTAATACGTTCACATTGCTTTGCAACAGATTTTGCTTTAATTGGGCTTCCGACCTCTCACATGCGTGGGACCTGCAGACTTGTTTTGGAGGAACTCGATAGGGATTTGTAAAGGAAGGGAATATGTTCACACATGCGCTCTCACGTTCTCTCCCTCTGGCTTTTTTTTTTTTTTCTTTTTAAAGAACAGATGTTTTCTGCAAATAGTTGTCAATTTATTCTGTATTCAGACATGTTCAAGTTTGCTGCCATAGCTGAGGTGTATATTTTTGGATTACAACAATTGAACAGCTCCCCTATGGTGTGAGCTGTGAACAGGTATGAGGCTCACAACAGAGTGGAAATGGGGAAATGGTACCTCATCATGCTAATCTCAAAGTCTTGGCAGAGTATCATTAACATGTATTTTTAGCTTAAGAATGAAAAATAGCTTCGACATTCCCATTCATCCTAATAAATGTTGAGTATTTAAATACTTTTAGCATGTTTATGGGAGAGAGCTTGTTCAGAATTCTTTCTGAAGGTTTGTGTAGAGAATTCATGTTCCTTCAAGGAGAATGTTGGATATAAATGATCATTTCCAACTGGAATCAGAAAAGTATTGTAGAGTATTGTTATTTGTGGCAGAGTTTTCTCCAAGCTCATACCATTTTTTGTTATTAACAGCTCTAGTGTGTTTACACTTCCATGGTAAATTTTCCTGATATCCATGACTATAGAATCTTGTGATACTTAATGCACCTTAAGGGAGCAAGAACATTTCTTACAATTTAATGATTTTGAGACGTGTGTGTGTGTGTGTGTGTGTGTGTGTGTGTGTGTGTTAGACTTCTTAATGTTTATTCCAAAGCATGTAATGTTTGCAGAGTGCAATTAGTTAATTAAGCACATGAGCTAGAGGATTTGAGATCTGTTTTATCTTTGTAATTCTTTAAGTATATTACTAGATGCTCCACCCATGTTTTAGCTTCCCTATCTTGAAGGATGTTGAGGGTAAAAGGCAAGCAACAGAAAAAAAATCAGTGTGTTATTGACATGTGAATAACTGTATCCTATTTATCACATGATAATCAGTTTCTATCTTCTAATATCCGACTAGTATGGGCTCTCTTAATCATAAGTCCTTTAATTAGCGTTAAAATATATTTTTTAAAACTCTGGGTATACTTGTGATAATTTTTTTTTCTAATCGTTTAATTGATAATCGGTTTTTTTCCCTTCAGCTGAGGCCAAAACAGAGCTGTGTGAGCTCTGTCTCACAGACAGGAAAGCAATTAAATTACACGGGTTCAGGCCTGTCAATCATCTCCTGTGCTGCCTGGGCATAAGATGTGCTCAGTAAATGCCCTGCCCACACCTTTAAAATGGGGTCACTTGCTAAGATGATTCCTGCAACCTTTGCAGATGCTTTGGTTCATAGGAGAGTATAAGGGCTCAATATAGGCTCCTTGAGAAGGAGAGAGCACCAGGCCAGACAGACACTAAAACTGCCTAGCCGTTTTTCTCAGCAGGAAAGACTGAGCAAGAAAACTCTAAGTGGTCCATACAGAGAGGAGCCTCCTTAGCCACTCTATTCCGTTATGACTGAACTTCATTTAGATCATAAACAACAGGCAGAATCAATGAGGTGGAAACTAAGATTCAAATCTTAACGTAGTTACCACATTTACTGAGTTTCTGCTATGTGCCGTGTGTTGTCAAGATAAAGGAGTGAAGGAGGTAGGCAGGTTTTACTTCCCCTCAGGAGGAGCTCAAAGCGAAGGTGACCATATGTCCCAGTTTGATAAATTATATATGATTAAAGTACTAAAGGAAGACAGGTATTAAGAAACTAGAGAGTATAACTGGGGAACCTGATCTAGTCTGGGGGTAGACAGAGAAGACATTTCGTAGGAAGTGACTCTGAAGAGGAGCCCTGAAGCATCAGAAAGAAGTTTTTGATGGAAAAGAGTCATGCTCTCACGGGCCTCAGCGCCTTTGCACTTGACCTTTTTTCCTTCTGCCTGGAAGGGTGGATACTCCCACATCCTGTCCCTTTCCCCCTCAATATTACTGTTACAGGTAAAGTAGAATCTGTTTTACAAACAGCAGGTAGCAATTCCCAAGTCATAACATGAAGTTAGTGTGTAGTAATCCAATTTAAAATATATATATTATTAAATTTCAAGTACTTTGTACATAGTAAGGGTAAGATAAAAATGTTTTTTTTATATATGTGTGTGTGTACTTAGTCACAATAAAAAGTATACTTCTAACTATAGATTATGTTCAGAAAATTCTTTAAATATTTTGTCTAGAACAAGTAGAAATGAAATCACACTACTATCTTAACCTTCTTTGTGATATCAATGCATTTCCAATTATTTAATGTCTGGAGAAGAATGGGAAGGTGGCTCAAGCTAATAAGGGACCAGATTATTCAAGGCCTTATAAGCCTTTTTAAGGATTCTGGATTCTATCCTAAGATAAATGGACAATGATTGAAGTGTTAGGTATTTTTTATTTAGCTACCATTTGTTTTTAACCGGGATTAAATATAAAAGGATTTTGGGAACTAGGATTGAATAAGGGCTTTCTGGTAAATGTTCTATTCCTTTAATAAACATTTATTGATTATATACTAGTTTCTGGTATAGGTGTATAGTCTGTACTCGCATCTGAAAAACAGGTTTAATAATACCTTATGGAGTGACTGCAAACACTAAATGAGTTTAGTGTGTTATGTATACACTCAAGAGATGTTTCAGTGACCTTTTCTTTACCTCCGCCTCTTTAGGCCACACCTGAAAAAAGGATGCTTTGTTTTGATGATAATGTTAGTCAAATTGGGTTGTTAGAAAAGTCATGATGTATTATTTTCTGTTTTTCGTTGGAAAACTGCGTCATGACTTTTCCGACAACCCAATCCAATTCCCAGAATAAATATGTTAAGAAAGAATTATAGTTAATTTAATTTCTCTGTATTTGAAAAGAAGGTAGCCACTACTCTTTTAACAACAACAACAAAAAATCAGACTATATCCACAGGAGAATATGATGCTGACATAATTCTGAGATGGTGATGTTATGTCAGAATGACTTTTTAAATAAATCAACATGGAATCCTTCTGGTTTTCCTTCCCCTGCCCCCAAACGTAGTATTAGTTGTCTGACCACATTTTTTTTTTTTTGAGGGCAGAAAATGTAAACGTGGAGTACTCTTTCCACTTATTTCTGTGAATTTCCCTTCCCTCTTCAGATTTCACCACCCAATCCTCAGTCCTTTGGAAAGCGGTTTCCAGCTGGAAGTCGATGTCCTGAGTCATCTCCTGAAGGCCCAGGCTCAGGTCTCAGAGTGGAAGTTCCTCCCATCTCTGGTGAACTTGCACAACGCTCACAGCAAGCTGCAGACATGGGGCCAGATCTTTGAAAAGCAGCGGGAGACCAAGAAACATCTGTTTGGAGGGCAGTCTCAGAAGGCCGTCCAGCCCCCGCACCTTTACCTTTGGCTGATGAAACTCAAAAACATGCTTCTTGCCAAATTTAGCTTTTACTTTCATGAAGCACTGAGCCGACAAACGACTGCTTCAGAAATGAAAACGCTGACTGCAAAAGCCAACCCAGACCTTTTTGGAAAGATTTCCAGCTTCATTAGGAAATATGACGCTGCCAACGTGTCCTTAATCTTTGACAACCGAGGGTCCGAAAGCTTTCAGGGTCACGGCTACCACCACCCCCATTCCTACAGAGAGGCCCCAAAGGGTGTGGACCAGTATCCAGCTGTGGTGTCTCTGCCCAGTGACAGGCCTGTCATGCACTGGCCCAATGTCATCATGATCATGTCGGACCGCGCTTCTGACCTGAACAGCTTGGAGAAAGTCGTTCACTTCTATGATGACAAAGTTCAGAGCACCTACTTCCTAACCCGCCCGGAACCTCATTTTACCATTGTCGTCATTTTTGAGTCAAAGAAATCCGAAAGAGACTCCCACTTTATTTCCGTCCTCAATGAGCTCTCACTTGCCCTGAAGAACCCCAAAGTTTTTGCAAGTCTGAAACCTGGGTCCAAAGGTTAGCAGACTATTTGTGTGAAGGATTGTCAAGATAGGAAATTGTGTTCTTAATTTTTCTGATGATCTACAGTGGTCTGTGGTTAGAGTTTCCATCCATTCGTGCTTCTTTCAGAGCTAAATTAAAGACAAATCTCCCCTAATTGTGTCGTACACTTTATATGCAATTAAGGCCAATTGAATTAAGTATCCAAAGAGTGATCTAGGAAGTCATCATGGCTACTGTGTATCTCCATGATACAGAAAAGTACGCTCGGTATTTTCTCTTATTCTGTACTTCTTGTAGACTGAATATTTATTGGCCTTTGATGTTTCTTTCCAGATGTTTTATGTTATTCTAGATATTATGTTCTAATGCAATTCCACACACCCTTTCCCCTACACTCCTACCTGGATGAGTAATTGGGATAAGATATTAAATGGCCTTTATAGAATTAAAGACTTATGTTTTCTATCTCATCAATAAGCCGATGAACATGAAGTTACTAGTTTTATGATTCTGAAGTACAAATGAATATTTTTGATGCTAAAATTAGAGTCATGGTGAGAAATTAGTTGTTGAAAATGAAGGTGAATCAGAGTGGTAGGATAACATCAGGTTTTAACAGTTCAGAAGACCCTATGGCAACTTTACTAGCCATGGATTCTTTTGGGGTGATCTACACACCTCACTACATTTGTTTTTACCCCGATAAAGTTTGGATTTTTCGCTGTTTTAAAATCAGCATAAGCCATTATGTGGGATTTCTTTACTCTTCAGCGTATTACCTCCTTGGCTTTCTGTTTATCACCTTTCTGCTGAAATGCGTGTTCATGTTTGGCCCTACTCAATGGCTATTTTTAGGCTGAAAAAGCATGCAATCTTGGTTTTTCAGCCACTTTTAGACATTCATGCGACTTAGCCTACTTTTATAAAATCAAAATGGAATCCTGTACTTGCTAAAAATCAATTGTGCATTCATAAGACATCTTCATAATTGAGTCATCAACTGAGTACTTAAGCGCATCTGAACTTGAGATTCATGCCTATCTCCTGCAAATATTTTTAGAAGTAGTGATACATCTTAACCCATGCTGCCTTACCATTTTCCTTCAGAAGGTGTTCATGGGGAGGAAGGCATAATGGGCTGTGCAGACCTTCCCTTCTAGCTTCCTGATTCGGAATAAAAATAAGCCACAAAGAGTAATTGAGTTACTCCTATATATTTGATAGTTCCTACAGAGCTTGTGTGCACTGGAATAGTCCGATCAGTCCTGATTCTCATGATTGCACAGAGCCACTGTTTTACTGGGCGACCACAGCAGACAAGCCGGTGGCACCGGCACAGACCAGCGGTGCCCCTCCGAGTCCAGTAGAAGGCCTGCCCACCACAGTCTGGACTACTGGGTGGAAGAACCCACTGGCCTATTTTCTGGGGAGAACATTGTTTTCTTTCTTTTTCATTTAAAAAAAAATAAAAGTCATATGATTTGTAAAAAGCCAGTTTGCTTTAAATAGAAAGTAGTGATTTACCTCTCCATTTTATTCACTCAGGTTCTATAAAAAGCTGAACAGATTGTATAACTTTGACCTTACATAAAAAATTGAAAACAATTGGAACTAAAAAGTCAAATCATTTTTCCTCCCTTTTGTGTTTTGCTAAGAAGCTGAAAAATAATCCTTGGTATGCATGTATTTTTTTTTCCTAGATAAAACCACCATTAGCCTTAATGCTATGCTTCGGTGTAATATGGAGAAGAGTGTAAATAAAACATATGTACAATGCTTAACCAGTTCTCACCTAGAACATATTTGAATTGTATATTTATTTTTAAACATTTTGGTTCAAGCCAAGAAACAAGATCATTTTCTTCTGAAATTTGTCCTCTAAATTCAGTAATGAAATGATCTGTAAAGTCTATGTTTTGCTAATTGGAAGAGTAAATCTGCATATTTTCCACAGACTGCTTATTTTGAAATTTGTTTCTAAACCACAACTTGATCAATTTTTATGGGTAACCGGGAATGTGGTGAACAGAGTCTGCCAATGAGTCCATCAAAGAGTGTTTTATGTTAGGATGCTGTTTAGACACAGGGTGAACACTTAACCACTTTGTCCTCTCTTGGGTCCAACCTAGTATCTAACTATGTCTTTTGAGGGAGTATGTGAAAATAAAGCCTAATTCTTTACTGAGGAGCCAATATCCTTTATTCAATATAATCACTTTGCACATTTGGACGTATTGGAGAAAATTTACTTTCAAGAAAGAAAATGGTTGGTACTTCACTGCATTCCCAGTAGAATCACTCCAATGACCTTTAAACTATGTCCACCCTTTGATCTAGCAGCAAAAATGCAGTTTTGTTTCTTTGGCAAGTCAGCCTATGAACCTGACTTCCTTATCTGTAAAATGGGGATAAGGAAATGTGGACTCTTTCTCAAAGAATATTGTAAGAATGGAATGAGATCGTGCATGTTAAAAAGGCTTTGAAAACCGTGGGTTTGAAAGCTGCATAAATAAAAGATGGACCACTGTTTCCTTAAACTCAATGCCTGTTCTGTTCTCATCTTTCACTTCCGGTTTGTGGCAAACCTGTGCTTAGTGACTAAGTTTGAACAGTACTTGAAGAACTAGTTTAGAAGAGGAGGCAGGTAAATGCCTAACCAACCTGCCCACTCTTTTAAATTTAGAATCTTTGCCGTTCCTTGTTCTCAAATTTTTATAGTTGGTTGATAGCATCATTTCAGTTCTTCTGTATTCAAACTGATTTTTTTTTCATCTGGCTGCTCTATTAGAGAGGTGTGTTAAAATCTCCAACTATGATTGTGGATTTCTTCCTTTATTTCTGTAGGATTTTTTGTATTTTGAAATTCTTTTATTAGGCCGATATATATTTATAATGTTTCTGTCTTTCTCATGTATTAACCATTCACAAATTATCCATTTATCATTATGAAGTTTCCTGCTTTATCTCCATGACGACTCCTTGCTTTGAAGTCCATTTTTGCCTGATAGTTTTATGATCATTCCAGCTTTCTTATGCTTTCTGTTTGCATGGTATGTCATTTTTCATCTATTTGTATTGTTTTTTTTTTTTTTTTTAGCTGAGCCATCCTGCCACCTGTTGGCAGCTCAGCGGCTGCTCAGCTCGGGCCGGGACTCGAACCGCTGTAGCTCAGAGCTCAAACTCTTGAGCAAGGTCTTAACCAATTGAGCCACTTGGCCGGCCCCTTGTATCTTTATTTTTAAAGCATCTATAATAAGAACTAAAAAGAGAAGACTGATTAAAAGAGCAATAACCAATTCTGTGTTCTCCAATTGGGCAATCCCTGTCTTTTGATTGAAATGTTTAGTTTATTTCTTCTGTAGTTCTTTTACAGTCAGGATTTTGTTGATGGAATCCTCCAGCATCTTTTAACATGTACATCTATCTTTTTTCCCCCCTTCATATTGGAGTTAGATCAAGAGGTCTGATCAGATTTAGTTTAGTTTTGTAGTAGTAATAGTGCGTATTTTATTACGAGGCAGCTAACCTCTGGCGTTACCTGGATCCAAATGGTGAAATGGAGAAACTTCACCTCTATTTAGTTACCTAGAAGACAGTTCATATAGGAGTTGCTAGATAAATGTTTGATTCTTATGCCAGTTTTTAAAATAATGAGTTAGTTCCCTTAGCATCTTCCAGAAACACCAAGGAGTTCTTTTTTTTTTAAGTAGATGTATTTATGAGGATTTCTGCCTCTTGATTTAACCCTAAATTTGAAATAAAGAAGCCATTTTCCTCCTTGCCACATGATACTTTTATGTAAATATTATGAACTTCCCTTATTTCTTCCTCATGGTTAATTTTTTCTCTTAATTACTATTGACTATTTTCTTCTACTTTTTCCCTGTCTCCCTTCCTCCTTCCTCTCCCTTCTTCCCTTCCTTAATTTCTAATATCTTCCTACCAATTTCACTTTAGTCACTTCTTTCCCATTCTTCAGAGAGCCAGCCAGGACATACCCCAGTGGTCTCTGACCCAGTTTTGGAAAGCAGCCTCTGAAAGTATTCATGTTGATGGTTTTACAACTTCTTCATCTTGTTCAGGCACTGAGAGAGGAATACATGGAGGGGAAAGTTCACCATTGACACTAAGGGGTGACCACTAACGAGTGCAGCTACTTAATAAGCACCAGAGACGTTAGCCAACTACAGCCAAGCACGCAGTGCTGCATGTCTTTAATGGGTTATTTGGCACAAGCTACTCAGAACTAAAATCTTGCTAGTTGTATTTTTACTATAATTTTTTATTACTAAGTAAAAGATCATTCTTAGTCTATTTGCTGCAATTCACCTGTATGAAAACATTACAGTAACTTTTGATGTTGTTTTTCCTTCAAATAAGTGAGAAAGAAAAAACACGCCATGTGACTCTCCAAGAAAGCCCTGTTGGTAGAATTTAGCGATCAGTCCTCCCTCTACTTTTTCTACCAGCTTCCTGTTATCAATGCAATTATTTGATGGCCTTTTGCCTGAATAAGCTGCTTCTCCAGAGGAAATAAGTCAGAAGAAATAGACTTGATGTCCACTTCTGCTTCTGGGGACTTCTCTTGATATCATGTAAATCCATAAGTCTTCATTGAATGGAAGTATTTTGACTTGTCTATGTATTTTTTCAATCTGGTTTTGATAATGTCTGTTTCTGGTACTTTAAGTTTAAAACTATATGGTATGTGTAAGATATCAATGCTAGAAAATGGAGAGATACAAATGGGTCCCCCTTTCTGTAGCCCCCTACCTAATGTCAGAACCTGGGAATAGCATTCTGAGTGATGGTTTAACTCAAAGAGGGTCATGGGAGGTGCCTGTGTTGGGGTGCATTCTGAAAGAGGACTGCTTAGCCATGCAGTGGCAATCACAGAAATGTGCAGGGTGGCACTTGACATTGACCTCGGAGAGGAAGATGGTCACTGGGACTTTATCTGACGTCCGTAGGGAGTGAATTCTGCTTTTGCTGGACTTAAAAACTGCAGAATTCCAGAATCTAGTGAAATCTGAAAATCTGGTACCTCATTTGATCTGAGATTTATGATGACTCAAACTTCTAGACTAAGTCTAGACTCATTTTACTTTGGTGTGACAAAATTTGACACTGCAGGACCCCCCTAGACTCAGTCACTCCTGGCGAGGCCAGTATTAGAGAAGTCCCCAAAGCAGAAGCAGATAGAGGACATGAATGACCTCTTTCTTCTATTCAACATTCATTCATTAAACAATGATTAAATATCAACTATACTAAGGGTGGTGATACAACAGTCAACCAAGACAAATATGGGACCTGCTTGGTTGGTGCTGGTAGTGAAGTGAGCTGGCTTCAACCATCGGGGCAGGCCAGGAGCTAAGAAAGACAACGAATACTCTACAAACTTGTTTAACTTGCATACCTCCCTACCAATTTTGGAAAAACCATGATACCTTGATGGATTTTTATTTTAGTCTGAAATCATCATCATTTAAATAGTTTCAAAAGATACATTTTATCATGTGTTGTAAATATTAACATTTAAAATTAAAATGTTTTTTAAAATATATCTAGTGAAATCATGGTACAATACAGACTTGATAGCCATTTTCCATATTTAAAAATAAGCTTTTTAACAAATATTTATCACTCTTTTTTCACCTTGAGCTCCATTCTTCTCCCATAGAATTTATCCTAATAAAATTTTTTTGCTTAGTATATATATTAATATACTAATATATACTTTATATAGTATATGTTCTTTCTTTTTTTTGAACTTGAGTGTGCTTTTTTCCAATTACAGTTGACATTCAGTGTTATTTTAGTTTCAGGTGTACAGCATAGTGATTAGACATTACTATATGTTCTTTCTGTTCCATAAGGCTCTAAGTGTTTAATGACCAAATGGCATATATAAATATATTAGAAATTTTACTTGAACATTTTATTAGAAATACAGTGTTTTCAATGAAATGAACAGGTTCAATGTTTACGGTGTCTTGGTTAAAGAAATTGATTGTATAAGTGTTTCTTTGTTTGGCAGGCAGGCATTTTTATATCCTGCAGTAGTAATACCTCATGTTAAGAACTGTGAAGGGTGTGAGATTTTATTAGCCTGCCGCAATTACATGGGTGCTGTCAGAAGACATGAGACAGTTATTACAGCAATAGCAGTATTCAGAATATTACTATTTTTGCATT